CCACCTCTCCCAGCAAAAAGGAGTTTCAGGGAAGTCAGCTGCGGGGCCATGCTGGACCAAAACGTGCATCACCCTCCAAGTGAGCTCCTCTCAGCAATGCTGCTGTGGTCAGGGGCTAGCGGGTAAAACCCAGGACCTTTCCCCAACCCCAGCGAGGCTGCCAGCACAGGAGACAGCAAACTGCCCAGTGAGGTCTCTTGCCTGAGTATGGCCCAGCCTGACACCCGCCCAGGCAGAAAATGCTCCAGGGAAGCCAAAGCTACTAGAGCTCAGAGAGGAGCCACGGGAACCGCTGCTGTGAGTGCTGGATTTTGATGAGAAAAATTGCTGTTATGCTCTCGGAGAAAATTACCTTGAGAGGAAGCAGAGCACTTGGTGCAAAGCCCCTTTGTTTCAGCTCCAGGTCTCCTCTCGCTCCCGCTAAAGATCAATTACCGAAAAGGGCAGAGCAGCTGCCTGCCTTTTCCTTTGGCGCAGAAACACATGGTGCTCTTTTCCCTTTCATTGCCTATTTAATTACCCAAGACGAGCCTCTTGCTGCTGCTGATGCCCGACCCTGGAGCAGCGGAGCACGGAGAAGGGCCCAGCCGCTGCAGTGACCCATGCGAGCTGGCCAGCTGGAGGGGTGGCTGTGCAAAGCCCCCGCAGCTTGCTGCAGAGCCAGGGGAAGCCACCATGGGCAGCTGTGCTGAGAAGCTGATGGGAGCATTCCCGCTAGGGCTGGGCAGCATCTGCCAGCCCAGGGCACTAATTATGGGACCCCACCAAGAGTCAGATGCTGAACTACCCAAGAAGTCGGAAATGGAAAAGACCTGTCCCCTCCTTCCCCTGTTAGGACATTTCACATGTCCCTCCCATCTGAAGCTATAGGCCAGATCCACAGTGGCATTTAAACTCCTAAAGCACCGACTGACACAGAGTGATAAACACAGTGCTGAAGCAAAAGTCAAGAACTCCAGTATCTCTGCAGGCTTCAACCATAAGATTTTATACGTGAAGAAACAGGCTGGTGATTTTCACAATCTTCAGCTTCATTTTCTGCATCTTTGCCACATCCCATTGCCGCTAGAGCCAGCTTCCTTCCCAGATTTACTTCTCTACCTTCCCAAATATCCTTCCCTGGCTCATGCTGCCTTTCTAAGAGAGACAGTATCAGAGCCAGCAGCCGCCTCCCACTGCGTATCACCCCCTCCCAGTTGCCACCATCTTTGCAGCGTCACAGCATCCAGTAACAGCTGCAATATGTTTGGAGACAAACATTGTAACATCTTGCCGCCCCGCTGCTACCATCTACTTCCATGTAGACGCTCTACAATTACACCTGCTCATCTTAACGCCATTTACACTACTAACGCACGCCCACAGGTGCTGTCTGTTGTCACCCCTAGCCTCAGTACCACCCTGCAGACCCCCTGCCCTGGCTGGCTGTAGCTCAGGGGTAACACGGAGCACCCCAGCACCCAGCTCCACAAGGACAAGGAAAGAGCAGCAGCGGAGCAGGAGAGAGAGCACCATGGAAACGAGCCTGAACAGGGAAGGGAATATATCAGCTTACGCTACAGGAAACCCATCAGTTAAAAACCACAAAAACCACATAATTTCAGTTCACTGGATTGTGATCCCGAAAATCCAAGGATTAGAGGAAGAAGCACTTAATGCATGAAAAAAGAGCAAGAGCTCTCCTTCATCGGCAGAACAGACACAAGAGGGGAAAAAACACCCACAAACAAGCAACCCTGTATTCTCACACCTGCCTCCACAAGCTCAGAGGTTTTGGCCGTGACAACTCCTTCAGTTCCTCCAGCAGCCCCAGCCACAAGCAGGACAAGCCGACACCGCGCTGCTGCTGGGGTGGTGGGGAGCAGGCAGCCCGCGGGCTGGCTGGGGGGGCTGCGGTGTATTTGCAACATCTCTCTTCCATAAGAGGAC